GCTTTGATATTAATAGTAGAGATGCACATTTCGATAAAATAAATGGTTAACTACGAATACAAATCGAGAGGGTGTCGATGTCGGTAAAATCATTGGTTTTATTGGAAGTCCCTAATCAGTTAATTCAAAACCTATTGGTAATGAGTATAGAATAATTAAGGAGAAAAATTGTGGAAGTGAGACATCATAAAAAATAGTCTACACACGTTATTACCACATACAAACTTATAAAATAGTCTTTAAAATTGTCGGATGTTAGTTTAGGTATGAAATTTGAATGATTTTTGAGTTCAGGTTGAAATAAGCCATGTGTAAAAAATCAAATCTAAAAGTGCACGACGGAAAAAGTTAACGTTTTCCGTCCCACCCCTACCTTAATGTCTGATTACAACCGTTTCAGAAATCTCTCACAGAAAAAAAATATAAATACCACACATTCCATCCCAAACCTACACGTTTTACCTTCATTTCCTGCTCAGTCAAATTGTTTTCCCTAATTATGGTGGCCGTAGACTTAATTAGTTATAGTTTTGAGTTTCTCTTTAGCAAAGAAACCTAAATTAAATTCATTGAAAGAAGAAAAGCACAGCATCTTGAAGAGCACAAAAGAGTCTCTCATTAATCTAGACATATTTTGTATCCTGACATATGCGCACAGCGATTACGAATAAAAGGGGTGTGGCCAAGTATCAATGTGAAGGATTAACCAAGCACTACAGTCAGCCATTAAGATCAAGAACATATCTTTAATGGAGTTTGATCTAAATTTAGGGTTAAGCTAACCCATCAGCTACTTAGCAGCAAAAGAAAGAGAAAATCACAGTTGAATTGAAGGAAACAAGAAAACCCTGAATTTGAAGTTTCCATATCGGGAAAGAGAGATTTGAACAAAGGGACCAAGAAGAGGAAAGGAGCTTACTTGTCGCCGGAGGAGGAGCCGTAGAGCTTTCCGGAGGCGGAGACGACGAGAACAGCGACGAAGAGAATCGAAAGGTGTCGAGCTTCCTCGATGAGACCATTGCGTCGTTTGGAAAAAGTGACTTGTCGACTGCTTTTCTTCTCGATCCGCTTGATCTCGACTTTTCTTCTTCCCATGGCTTCTTTCTCCGACAAGAGTTTTGCCCTAATTTGGTTCTGATGTCTGTATCACTGGCCGGAGAAACTCAATCTTTTTCCTCTTTTATCCTTTTTTCTTCGTTTCTCTCTCTTTTATTCCTATTTATTTGGGGTTTTGCTCTTTAAGACTAATCCTAACTCTTTTTTTTTTTCGTTAAACGAGAGAGAGAGAACAAAATAATAATAAGTAGAAACGATGCGTTTTGGAGAGAGGAAGAGACATGTATTTTTTACGGCGACTGTCGGAATTCTCTGCGAGTGCGTTCTTAAATTTGATTTTTCATCTAACCGGTTTAACCGGTCCGATCCTTTTTCTTCATCCTGGTGGGATAGATAGATTATGGTCTCAAATATAAAGATTACATGTAAAAAACGGAGTATTTTAAAACCACTAAAACGGAGTTTGTAATTAAAGAGATTTAAACAATTATCTTAGATGATGGAATTTGTTTTTCGGTCTCAACATATATGATGAATCCTCCTTTTGACCGGATCGAAGAGAAGGTTCGATACCGGTTTCTGTGTCTGCCCGATCATCGGTGGTGTTAGAGGACTTCACTAATTAGAGTTGTGTTAAGCAATGGATCAAAGTCAAATATTGGGCCGAACTCAGGTCCAGCCCATAAATATCGGCTTTTACACAATCATAATGTCTAATTTACTACATGAGAAACGAAGCGGAATCAAAGACCTAAAGATGATAAAACTCAGAACTCGGATTCACATCATTACAGGACTCATTCCATGTAGTATTATATATCAATGTAATCATACAAATTCTTTCGGATGGTCCAAGGAATCACTATTTTAACTAGTTAATAATAATTGCATTAAGATATTTCATTCTCGAATTTACCAGCTAATCTGTTAGAAAGGAGAAAGATAGAAAGGTTCTTAGACT